ATTTTTAATCCTCATTCAAAGAAGAAATCAGGTTAATGATGCATTGTCTGATTTTCTGTCTTCAATGAGCAAGTGTGTAAGTTGGTCAAAGTTCAAGTTTCGGTCAACTGCAAGTTTACTGAAAAAGAAATGTCATGTTTAACTTTTACAGCAAGATACTAGAGAATTGACTCCACGAAGTCTGAAGTTCTTCATAATATCTTCTGTCTGTTCTTAAACAATCTTAATCTTTTTCCTTGACTTTTCATAACACCTTACATCACAAAACACACCTCTGTTTTGGTCCATCGACCAATCAGAAACTCCCAAATGAACCGGAAATAGAGCTCTTTAAATGTTGGTACTTTCTAGTTCAACCCAGTTTTGAGTTGGAGTCGGGTGGAGAGTTTTTGCAGCTCCAGTCGTTTGGGAGAACAGAAGTCCAGCCATGATTCAAAGCTCTTCAGAGTCTTTTGGGATTATGACATCTTTCACCTCTGAGTGGAACTTCTGAAGGACTCCACTCATGTGAGTCCACCGTGAGCTGAACTGTTGTTGACGAAGTCGCGTCACCACTCCGGACGGTTCTCTGCCATCCTACGGAGACGCTGGACCGGTAGCGTAGCTGGAGCTCCGCTTTCACTGATTCATCGTCAGAGAGGTAATGAGTCGAGTTGACTACCGAGCGTACCGAGGAAAGCTGGGTCGAATGGAGGGTGTCGTTCTATCCAACACTTTTCACTCACACACACACCATCTCCCTCCCTCTAAACTTCAATCTTTAAACTCTTCTATCTGCTAAGAAATTAATCCAGATATTTTTTAGAAATGTCTAAAGCAAAGTTTTTCAACCACCGCCGTGTGGTTAATGTCTGTGGTACTGCTGGAAGTGAGAAAGCAATCGCCGTATTGTTTACTTCCTGTAAAACTGATTAATAAGCTGTCGTTATTTTCAATTCTTGCCAATTAATGTAAATGTGTGATGTGTTAAACTTGATTCTGTTAATAAATGACCCACTGTCGTTGGTGAGTCAAAGATAATTAACGTTTCCGTCCACATTTTATTAAATTCAGATGCACGTCATTATACAGTCCAGAAAAATGAAAGAATCCGTTTAATTTATGAATATATATCCGTATGTTCATACTACATTATGTCACAAGATCTAACGGATATTTGTAAAACAGTATTTATAAATTGAAAAAAGAATGTTAAGCATTTTATCTGTGACTGGTGTGTGCAGGAAGCAGACTTTATTAGTGTGAGTAAATAAAGTATATTTTTCTTCTATTTATTTTTAAGACAGATGCATTATAACAGTGTGGATCCTTGCCTACAAAAGGCAGAGAAATCTCAAAGTTAAGTTAATTGTGCTTTCCATGGAAATGTCTTGTAAAAAGCATGTCTCCCCCAAAAAAATATTTAGTGCTTTCATGCTACAATACTCTGGGGGTTTGGGTTTGACTGCAGAAGGGAAAAATGACACATCATCTTTTCATTTTCTTTCATGGATCACTTTTGTAAGCAAACACAGTTACAACAATTGCCAGTTTGGGACAAAATAGCCCAAAGTGAACTGAACATGAAGGAATAAAACTATGAGGAAGAAACCCTGAACAAAAACAGAAACCTGAATGACTTTTTTTTAAAAGAACCAATCCAGTGTGAAGGCAAACATTATTTTTGTTTCAATGATACCCCTTTCACATTTCAGGTACCATTCACAAATGGTATTGCATGATGAAATCTGGAGTGCCAGAGAAGTATGTTAGACTGGCACAGGACATTTATGAGAACAGCAGGACATGTTAGATTGGCACAGGACATGTATGAGAACATCAGGACATGTTAGACTGGTACAGGACATGTATGAGGACAGCAGAACATGTTAGACTGGTACAGGACATGTATGAGGACAGCAGGACATGTTAGACTGGTACAGGACATGTATGAGGACAGCAGGACATGTTAGACTGGTAAAGTCGTCAAGTCACATTTATTTATATAGCACATTTAAAACAGTAACTGTTATCAAAGTGCTTACCAAAAAAGATCACAGCATCAAATATTAATAACAAGATATTACAGCATCAGGAATAAAAGCATAAAAACATGAAATATAATGAGAAACAATGAAATACTAAATCAAATCACCCTGCGTTAAATGTCAGGGAGTAAAAGCAAAATGGATGAACACAATCATCAACAACGAAATACCAAATGAGATCACACTGTAAGGATGAAGGAGTTCGGAGAGGTATGATGATGCAAGGCCATTAACATACTTAAATGTCAGCAGAAGAATGTTAAAATCAACTCTGACACGCACAGGAAGCCAGTGAAGAGAGGACAGAACTGGAGTAATGTGCTCAAACCTGCAAGTTCCTGTTAGTAGCCGAGCTGCAGCATTTTGGACAAGCTGGAGACGTGAGAGGGAGACCTGACTGACCCCAGCATAAAGCGAGTTACAATAGTCCAGCCGGGTTGTAATAAATGCATGGACTAACAACAAAGTCCATAATCAATAATCCAGGTATACAATCCAACATTTTTCAGTCAGGTCAGCTGGACAGTTTCTTTTTTTGTGCTGAAACGTTTCACCTTCAATCCGGAAGGCTTCATCAGTCAAGGAAACACACAACACAAAACTGATTCTTCCCCCAACAGCTTACTCCAAAGTGGAACAAACCAGTTTTGTTGGTACTAAGATGGTCTCTTTGGTACACCCCCTCCTCCAATGCCGGCCCTCTTCCTTGTTGACAGTTGTATCAAACTGGTTGAAAACAACGAATGCATGGTCCAAAAAAGTTCAATCTGGTCCTCTGGACATTCAAAAGAAAAAAAAAAGGCAAAAAAAATGTAGAAACGTTTCGTCTCTCATCCGAGAGACTTCTTCAGTCTGAGGTGCTGTATTCAGCTTAGTCTCTTAAATAGCACCTTCTCAGAGTGGATCTACCAGTTTGCTGCTGACAACCAAAACCAGCTGCTCACATGGTCAAGAAGGACCATCAGCCTAACAATGGAACATTAGTACACTGATGGTTGATCCCGGAGGCCTCCACCCCTGTTTAATGATGGACAATTTCTTTTCACAAAGATGGCCTCCTTTACTCCTCTCTCAGACCATCGTTCCTCTCTGTCCAGGATGTGAACATCTTCATCTCTGAAACCTGGCTCAACAAATCTGTACTCAATAATGACATGGCAATCAATGGATTTAACATCTACCGCTGTGATCGTCAAAAAGGGGGGGGGGGGGTTGCTGTTTACATCAGAGATTCTTTGGTTGCTAGTCTTGTATCTTCTATAACAATTCCAAACCAGTTTGAAGCCTTAGCTGTAAACATCACCTTGAATGGAGGCCAGATCTTATATGTAGTCTGCTGTTACCGCCCACCTTCAGCAACACCTGAGGCTCTGTCTGCCCTGAAGGAATTTCTTGGTAATTTAAAATTCAAAGAGATCCTTTTGGCTGGAGACCTCAACATTGATTGGTGTACGTCGACCCCCCTCTGTGATAAATTCAAGGAATGTTGCCTGTCTCTCAATCTTACCCAATTGATCGACTCTCCCACTAGATTAAATAAAAACCGTCCTGAAAAATCCTCCATCTTAGACCTGTTTCTAACTAATATGCCTCACAAATTCCCTGGTACAGGTGTATTTTCCAATATCTTCAGTGACAGCGGCTTTGAGAGATATTAAACTTCTACCTTCTAAGCCCAGATTAATTCAAAAAAGGGATCTGAAACATTTCTGTGAACAGTCATTCCTCTGGGATCTGTCTCACTTTGACTGGCATCATATTCTGTTAACTGATGACATGAACTCTGCTTGGAACTATTTTCATAATAGTTTCATTTATTTTGTGAACAAACATGCTCCTTTTCGTCAGTTCAGAATAAAGGGACGAGACAGCCCCTGGTTTACTCCAGAGCTATCTGACCTCCTGCACAGGAGAGATCATCTTTGGGCCACAGCGAGAAAATCTGACTCAGACACTGATTGGTTGAGTTTTCGACAGATGAGGAATAAATGCACAACTGCTGTCAAAGCAGCAAAACGCAACTATTTCTCATCTCAGACCTCCAAAAATCTAAATGACCCTAACAGATTCTGGATAACCATCAAATCTCTCTCAGGCACCCCCCAATCCTCTGACCTCCCATCACAACTCTGTTCCTGTGTCAAATAAGCACGAGATCCTGAACTGTCTCAACAAACATTTTGTTGCTTCTGGTTCTTTATTTGACACAGTTACTAACAGAAAATCAGCCACTTCACCTAATAACCAAACTTCTACAAATCAAATCCCTCCTACAAGTCAATCCTCAGTTAATCACAGCTTCTCTTTTTCTCCATTCTCAGTCAGTAAGGTCAATAAACTGTTAAAAGATCTTGATCCTAAAAAATCTGCAGGTCCAGATGAACTTCCACCTTATTTCTTAAGGCTGGCTGCTCATATCATCACAGTCCCTGTGACCCACATCTTCAATCTCTCCAT